CTCATCCACAAAGAAGAATGAAACTTTGTCATTTGCAAGTAAATGGAAGGAACTGGAGAGAATCATCTTAAGCAAAGTTAGCCAGGCTCAGAAGGCCAAAAATTGTACGTTCTCCCTAATATGAGGATTACAGACCTTAAATAAATGCTGTAATATTATTGGACATGGGTCACACACTAAGTGGGGGGAGGAAATGTGTACAGAAGGAATAGAGAAAGGGAAGGGAACCTAAAACTTGAAAGTGGCTGATATGCCCACTGTAGAGGAGCAAATAAAGTAATTTTAAACTGGCAGAGGCCACTATGGGAATGTGACCGGGAAGTAGTGAAGAAGTCTGGTAGAACTGAACCAATTTGGGTTGTAATACACATATGCATGGAAGCAATGCTAGGAATCTCTCTGTATAGCAAAAATGCTACGCCTTTCTTATTATCTCTTATGTTTTCTCTTCAACAAAACTGGAGAAGAGGGCAGAACAGGTTCTGCCTGAAGTGAGGGGGGTGGGTAAGAGAGGCAGGGGGATGAGTGGCCTAAACAATGTACACATATGAGTAAATGTATAAACAATTAAAAAATAAAGATAAAAAATAAAACAAAACAAATGAATATGGAAAATAACACACTAAAACCTATGGGATGTAGTAAAAACAGTATTAAGAAATTTATAGCTATGAGCACCTACATCCAAAAAAAAAAAAAAAAAGATTTTAAATAACCTAATGATGTAACTCAAGGACTTAGAAAGAAAAGCCAGAAGAAACAAAACCCAAAAGTAGTAGAAGGAAAGAAAGATAAGAGCAAAAATGAAATGAGATGAAAAAGACAAAAAGAATCATGAAAAAAAAGTTGGTTCATTGAACAGGTAAAATTGACAAGCCATTATCTAGAATAACCAAGAAAAAAAAAAAAAAGGAAGTTCAAATAAATAAAATCAGAGACGAAACTGACAAATTTCTGGACACATATGACCTACTGAAATTGAACCAAGAAGATTAAAAAAAAAAAACCAAATAGACCAATAGCAAGTAACAAGACTGAATCAGTAATAGAGTCTCCCAACAAAGAAGAGCCCAGGACTGGACAGATTCATGGATAAATTTTAAAGAACTAACAACCTTTCTCAAACTATCCTATAGAACTGAAAAGAAGGGTACCCTTCCAAACTCCTTCTACAGGGTCATCATTACCCTGTCACTCAAACCTGACAAAGATACAAAAAAAAAAGAAAACTATAGGTCAATATCTCCAATGAACACAGATGCAAAGATCCTCAACAAAATACCAATAAATCAAACTGAACAGCATATCAAGAAGATCATGTATCATGATCAAATTGGTTTCATATCAGGGATATAAAGGTAGTTCCACATACACAAATCAATAAGCACAGCACTTCGCCCCAAAAGAATAAAGCGTAAAAATCATATGATCATCTCAATAATTGCAGAAAAAGTATCTGACAAAATCCAACATACTTCGTGATGAAAGTCCTAAACAAATTAGGTGTAGAAAGACCATACCATTACATAATAAAGGCATTCATGACAAAAGCCAGTATCACACTGGATGGGGAAAAACTGAAAAGCATTTCTTCTAACATCAGGAATAAGACAAGGGTGGTTCAGTGTCACTGTTCTTTTTCAGTACAGGACTAGAAGGTTTAGCTGAAGCAAATAAGTAAAAGAAATAAAAAACATATGCAAACAGTGTGGAGGGAAGTAAAATTACCCATTTGTAGATGATATGATTCTATACATAGAAAAACCTGGGGTCTCCACCAAAAGCCTATTTAAACTGATAAATTCACCAAAGTAGCAACATACAAAACCAACATATGAAAATCAGTAGCTTTTCTTTATACTAATAACAAAGTTTCTAAGAAAGCAATCCCATTCACAACAGCCACAATAAATAAATACACGTATACCTAGGAATAAACTCAATTAAGGAAGTGAAAGGTTTCAACAATGAAAATTACTAAACATTGATGAAAGACATTGAAGAAGTCATTAAAAAATGGAAATATCTCCCATGTTCATGGATTGGAGGAATTAATATTACTGAAATGTCTACAATATGCAAAGTGATCTATCGATTCAGTGCAATCCCTCTCAAAATGCCAATGATACTCTTTATAGAACCAGTATGTTAGTGAACTTTCTGTTGGTGTGACAAAACAGCTGAGAAAATGAATACAAAAGAAGAAAGTCTTCTTTTGGCTATTTCAGAGGGTTCAATCCATGGTCAGTTGGCTCTGTTGTTTTGGGGCCTGTGGTGAGTCAGAACATCATGGCAGGGAACATGTGGTGGAACAGAAACACCTCAAGGCAGACAAATGGGGGAATTATATCAAACTAAAAGGCTTCTGCACTACAAAGGAAACAAGAGACAGCCTACGGATTGGGAGACAATATTTGGCAACTATCAGTCCGACAAGAGGATTAATATCCAAGTTATATAAAGAACTAAAAGAACCTAACAATGAGAAACAAATTATCCAATTAAAAAGTGAGCCCACGATCTGAATAAACACTTCTCAAAAGAATTACAAATGGCCAGTTCATGAAACAATACTCATTATCATTAATCATGAGGAAAATGAAAATCAAAACCACAATGAGACACCATCTCACTTCACATAGAATAGTTATTATAAAAAACAAAAACAAAACCCAAAGCTAGTGAGGGCATGGAGATAAAGGAACCCTTATATACTGTTGGTGGGAACATAAACTAGTATAGGTATTATGGAGAACAGTATGGGCAGTCCTCAAAAACGAAAAGTAGAACAAGCATATGACCCAGCTATCAGATTTCTGGGTACATATCCAAAGGAAATGAAATCAGCATATAAAAGAGATAACTGCATATCCAAGTTTATTGTGGCACTATATATAATAACTAAGATATAGAATCATCAACACATGAATGACTAAAGAAATAACACAATATTATTTAACTGTAAAGAAAAACAAAAGTGTGTCATTTCCAACAAAATGGATGGAACTGGAGGGCATTATGTTAAGAAAGGTAAGCCAGACACAGAAAGACAAGTAATGCAGTTTTCTCTTAAATGTGGAAATTTAAAAAGAAGAAGAAAAAAGGCAACCTTAAAGTAGAATAATGATTACCAGGGATTGGGAAGGGTCCTGGGTGGAGGGGATCAGGGGTCAAGGGTAGAAGAAGCATATTTGGAAATGATCAATACACACTGCATACAGATATGGTAATTTCACACTGAATCCCATTAATATGTACAATGAGTATGTGTTAATAAAAAGTAAAATAAAAATTCTTTATAAATTTAGAAAAGCACCAATAAACAGTACATTTAGTAATAGAAAATAGACAAAAATAAATTATAACCTTATTTTTGGAAGTCTTTACCTCTCAACTTCATATCTGTCTACCCTTTCTCCCTCCCTCACCCCCATCTTCCCTGTGTAGAGGCAGATGCCTGGAATGATGCTCAATCAATTTAATGATAGTTATTTCAAGGGAGTAGAATTTGAGAAACTTTATACTTTTCTGTGTTACTTACATTCTTTCCCCCAAATAATTTTCCCCAGAAAAGCAGTTATTTCCTTAAAAACAGAACCCAAAAGGTAGAAAAGATTTGCCACCCTGTCAATGATCTATAAGGGAGGGTCCCTCAAGCAGCACACATTAAACACTGTTCTGATCAGGCTTTTATTTTTCATGGATGGTCTCACAGAAGCTATGATTCACCCACTCCCTTTAAAAACACTGAAAGTTGATAAAATGCAAATGTGTCTCTATCTACATCCAAACCCAGCTGTCAGCATCTTTCAGCTCTTTCCATGTCTTCCCACTGGAACTATCTTATTTACTACACTATGTTTTTTTTTTTCTCCCCAGTATGTGCACTACATCTTTGTTGCAGGTGTGTGTGTGTTTTCTTTTTTTGTGGGGCAGGGTGGGTAGGAAGGAGAAAGGGAAGACTGTTTTCCTCTTCATTTCAAATGCTACAATTCATCTGCTCTTATGTGTGTGTATAGTTTTTCTGCCCTCAGGCCATCTATTCTTTCTACAGCTACTGAGCATTGTCATAAACATTTGTATTCCTCTGACATCCATACAACCAAAGTCCTTCCTAAGCTGTGGGTCCCTGTAGTTGACAGCTTCACTTGAGGTGGCTTAACAGAGCTCCTGTATCTAGTTCACAGCAGAGTGCCAGTGCCTGCTCCATGGTGTCTCATAATTAGCCAAACACAGCCGCTTCCCCAAAGCCTCGCTTTGTAACCTGCCACTACTGTCAGTGCGTATAAATATTATATGCAAAAGGCATCATTAAAATAACACTGGGTTTTTGGCTGAAGCACTGACAGCTGCGCAGTCTCTGTAGTTAAGATGAGGCAGTTGCCTAGATGTTCTTTATCTTCTGGGTGCTTATTTGTAAATTTTCTGAGTTTCAGGAAATCTCTCACCCACCTAGCACTGTTAGGAAGACGTGGAGATGAGGCAGAAGGCCTTAAAGGATGCTGTTTTTCTGAGTTTTCACGAACTGCGTGCATGTAAAATTTCATCTATAGGCCTTACCCTCCTTGCCAAGGATGAGCTCTAGAAAGATCACCAGGTGCGAGAGAACAGAGGAAGCCTTGGGACTGGTTGCAGAGCTGGGAGGACATGAGAAGAGGAGTAGGTTTAGAACCAAGGCAAGGCTGCCTTTGGTGTTGGGGAAACTCTGTGGTTGGCAGTCCCAAAGAGCTGCAGGGCCCCTGCCTTTTACACAAACATCTGACATTCAGGGCAAAGACCCATAATAGCTAATTCTTCCAGAGACAAGAAGCGAACTGCCTGCATCATCACACATGTTGGTGTTCTATCCTTGCTAAATGAAATCTTTCAGCATCAAAAAAATCACAACAAACACTTCATACTTCAATTATGAAATTATCTTAGTGATGGCTTTTGGGTTCCATGGAAAACATTTACTGGGGTGGTGGAGCAGTGAGAAGCTTCTGTATGTGTGGACATACCTGCTTAGCTGCTGCTGAAGAAATTGTTTTACTGTGCAGCAGGTCCAAGAGCTCAGCAAGCGTAGAAGGTGTGACAGGACTAGCAGCCCCCAGGAGAAGAGAAAGAAAGAGAAAATAAGTCAACATTTCACACTATCAGGGTATTCATTAATGGTTGTTGAAATTCCAACTCTTTTCTTGTACGTTTAAGTCATCACAACCATATCCAATGATGAAAATAACAAGCCAATTTGGCTCTATTTTATTTTACTTATTTATTTTGTATCTTAGGATTTAACAAATTTTTTTATGACTGGTATTTTTAATCTTATTTTACCACTCAACAATAATGGCTGTTTGGCAGAAGTTGTAGCAACAGACTTATTGCTTAGTGCAATTAGTCAAAAAAAGGAGGTGGTTGCAAAATTCATGAACCACAAAGAGGGAAAAATACATCTAGTAATTAAAGATTTTTGACTGAAAGATCAACCTCAAAATACTTCAAACCAAACAGCTAATGAAGCCAACTTTCTCAGTGTTTCTGTGCAGATATAAATTGCTTTTAATTGTAAGAGATTTTCCATAGGGAACATGATGTCTCCCAGTCATGTCTTCGCCTGTCCTCATGGGCCCTCTGCATACTCTGTTCTCTGCAAATTCACAACAGCTTTCTGGACAAAGAAGTGCCCAGAATCTATTATATCTATATTTCTATGATGTGATTTATGTGCCAAGATCCCATGGTACAGGGGTTAACTAAGCTCCGTAAGGTGCTTAATTCACATTCAGCAGGCTGAGGGGATGGGCCTAGAGTACTGAAAAAGACAAGACTGAATTACAGACTTCTTCTTCACAAATATATAGTTTAGCTACTTCTAAGTCTATACAGTAACTAGGGTAATGAAATGCTGTCTATCTGAGGCATTAGGGGACTAGTTTAAAATAGGAACGCTTATAAATAGCACACTAGCAAGTATGTCTGTGTAAAATGAGGCTTCTGAAATGCTGGTGCCACATAAAAACGTCTTCTGTGTAAGTCCTGGTTCCCAACATTCATTATTAATTTCTTTGGAAGCTCTTAGATGATAAACAGGAAACCACAGCTTAGCCCCTGTACCAATTTCCATGAATTCCAGACCAATGATATGCAAGTTAACTGGGCATGGCTCACCATGACTTAATTCAAATACAGTCTAAGCTTATTAGGGTTGTTCATTCAAAGCAGCTGACAGACTGGGGCAACCCATCATCCTTAAGGTGTCTGTTTATCCCAAAGTATGGACAAAAGGTAATTCCAACTGGAAACTAGGCTGGGAGAGTATCTGGTGTTACTAAATTGATAAGGTCTGTGAATCGTCCTGATTAAATCTCCAAAGGAAGAGGGGCAGAGGGCTGTGAAATAAACCAGTATACTTTTCCAACCTTCCATCTTTATTGACAAATAAAAAAGGAAGCAGGTTTTTCTAAAAATGTGTTGTTTGGATGTTATGCAGTCTTAGAAAATGCCACAATCAATTACCTTACAGTGTTGACTGTGTGCAAAACCCATAATAAGTGCCAAGGTTGAGCTAGGTTCCTAGAGCATGCAACAGATAGGGTCCCTACCCCCACAGGAGTTGATAATTGTCTTGGTTCATTTTGGCTGCTGTAACAGAATACCAAAGACTATGGGGCTTATGAACAACAGAAATTTATATCTCACAGTTCTAAAGGCTGAGAAGTCTAAGATCAAGGTGCCAGCAGATTCTGTGTCTAATGAGGGCTCTGTATTCTTATTAATGGCACCTTCTTGCTGTATCCTCACACGAAGAAGGGGTGATCTAGCTCTCTGAGGCCTCTTGCATAAGGAAACTAATCCCATTCCTGAAGGCTCCATCTTCTTGACTTAGATCACCCCTTAAGGCCCCATTTCCTAATACCAACATCTTGAGGGGTTGGGATTTAAATGTCTGAATTTTGGACAGAAACATTCAGATCACTGCAATGCCATAAAAGAGGTTAACATGGAGAAGGACAGAAAAAGAGCACAAAATAACAGAATGCATTTCACCTTAGAGAAATTCATTTAATGACCTGAATTTATTAGTTGAGCTATAAATGTATACTATAAATCTCTCTGCTGACCTATCCTCCCATATTCTTTAAATCACCTCTAGGCTATTTATACCTAGTACAATGTTGATGCTAGATAAAACATTTGTTAACACTGTGTTGTTCAGGGATTGGGGACAAGGAAAAAAGTCTGTATGCGTTCAGTATAGATGCAATTCTCCATATATTTTTGATCTGCAGTTGGTTGAAATTAAGGATATGGAAGGCTGACTGTACAAATTTCAGATATGCTGGGGCTAAACTTGAGTAAGACAATGACAAAGATAAGTACCTGTCACACCAACCCTGACAAAGCCCCCTCATTGGTTAAATAAATAAACCATCAGATTTTGACTTCAACAGTGGCAGAAACACAAGCTACTGTCAGATAACCCTGAATCCTGGACAGCTGTGTCTCCACTAAAGACAACTCTGATGACCAAAGCTTAAGTTTCCTGGGCTGTCTCTCTCCCTTGAGCCCACTGAGGCCAGGGCATCCTTCTTTAAGGAGGGAAGTGGGATCTTTCATTTAGGTCCTTAGCCCTCCTTCAGGACCACGATCCAGCTCCAGCTTGGATTCCAGGGGCAGAACCCCGCCCCCCACCACTCCATGCTCCACCCTGGTAAAATGGCTGCCCATCTTTCTCCCTACTCTGTTTCTGTTAAAATGGGACCAAAGAAGGTCCTGCAGAGAGATGCTTTTGTTCCTCTTGCTCTCCTCTCGTGGTGCCCTGCCTGGTGTCCTCACTCCCAGCAACAGTCTCCTTCCCATCCCCTACTCAGCAGACACACTCACCTCCCATTTCCTAAAAACATGAGTTGACACAGGTCCAGTGTTTTTGGGAACCCTCCTCCTCCCCTTCCATCCAGCCACCCCTCCTCCCACACTCTACCCCCACTACTTTCCACCCTTATGATTCTTCCTTGGTTGCTATTTCTCCTGTACCATGGCTTTACTCCCACCACAGGCTCAGACTTCCCTGGCTGCAAAATGCCTCCAGCTAATCCTTAACTTCTTTTGCCAATAAAGATCCAGCTTCAGTGGTTATTTTTCCACCTGTATCACTGGGATTCTACTCTATTGCCCAACAGAAGCTTTTTTTCAATATGAGGTTTGAACTAGGCCCTTGGACTCACAAGGTAGGTGTTTTATCACTTGAACCACATCCCCGGCTCTTTTTGTATTAGTTATTTTTTGGATAGGGTCTCACACTTTTGTCTGAGGCAGACCTCTGATACTGCTCCTCCTATCTATGGCCTCCAGAGTAGCCGGGATTACAGATGTGCACCACCACACCCAGCTTGTTGACTGAGGTAGGGGTCTCGCTAACTTTTTACCCAAACCATGATCCTCCCAATCTCTGCTTCCAGAGTAGCTGGGATTATAGCTGTGAGCTACTATATCCTGCTACCTCCTGCTTGCTGACAAATATGCAGCTTTTCTTCTTGCTGCCTCTGACTCCCAGTGCAGCCTATGAAGGCCCTTTCCCCCTCCCCCAGGCCTCTCCTTGGCACTCTCTTCTACTCTTCACCTGCTCACACTGAGGGGCTCAGTCCTCTCTTTCTCAATGCAGGCCTTTCCTCACTCTGTATAGGGAAAGTATGTGGGTACCCAGGGCTGCTCCTTCTTTGCTTCCTTTTCTCTCTACCTGCTTCATTCACCTGCCTACTCGGAGGCCCCACAGTCACTCAAATACAATCTTACACAGGGTGACAAACCTGTAGAAAGAGCCAGATGGTAAATACTTGAGGCTTGTGTTGTTTTATTTGATTTGTGCTGGGGACCACGCCTAGGGCCTTGCACATGTGCCACATGTGCACTTTCCCTGAGCTGAAACCCCAGGTCCCACCTTTCATTTTTAAAGATAAAAACCACTGTCATTCACAAACTGTACAAAACAGGCTGTAGACCCACATGCCAAAGCTTGCCAAGCCGCCTTCTTGTTCTAAGACAAACTTATCTTCCCTGCTCAGCAGTTCCTCTGCCATTTCGCCCCACACAATTTCTGTCTCCTTCGATGACAGCACCACACTCTGGTCACCAAATCCTAGTGATCCTTCAAATCCCTAATCACAGCCAACTCTCTCTGCACTCCCATATCTCTGCCACTGCTGTGACTCGGCCCCAGTGTCTCTTGCAATGCTGTGCACAGTTCTTGGATGCTTTCCCACGTGTCACACTGCTGGGCTAATCTTCCTGTCGACACCACTCCTTCTGGCCTCCTCAGGGCTCAGGGACTGTGCTGACAGCTGACCTGAAGTTTGGGTACTCAACTGAATTGGATGTTGGAGTGCCTTGATTTTACCACAAAATACTCAATTAGGTAATCCGCAATTTCTTAACTAACTGAAACCAATAATTTGGGCACCAGTGGCTCATACCTGTAGCTACTTGGGAGGCTGAAACCAAGATTGTGGCTCAAAGCCAGTCCAGGCAAATAGTTCATGAGAACCCCCTCCCCCCGCCCCCAGCTCCAAAAAAAAAAAAAAAAATGAGCAAAAGGGACTGGAGGTGTGGCTCAAATGGCAGAGCACTTGCTTTGCAAACGTGAAGCCCAGAGTTCAAACCTCAGGCCCACCAAAAAAAGAAAAAACAAAGCTATTAATAAAAATTTAGAATGTCCTGCTAATTAAAAAAAATACCCTTCCAAAACAATATAATCAAAACACTCACAAATGCCAGATGGGTGGCAAAAGCCCATGAGGACTGTGAGTTCTAGACCAGCCTGGGCTATACAGCAAGACCCTCTCCAAACAAACAAACAAGCAAATGGGAAATAACAAAACCCAAACCAAAACAGCAGCAACAACAAAGTAATCAGAAAGCCAAGTTCAACAAGAACTGTTCTGGTAGGATCCTTTAAACACCAGTCTTTTGACAGAATGAATGCAAATTTGCAAAATCAGCGATCTGCTTGCTGGTGTTTCCGGCTTTGGTATCATGAAACCTGTGGCTGGCTCTGCAGCTCCGGCCTTCTACGCTGTGGTAACACCAGCTCTAGTGGCCAAGGCTGTTCATCAGTCTGCTCCATGCTTAGGCTTGCAAAGCCAGTGACTGTGGTTTGAATATAGTTGTCGCCGGTGAAACGCATATTGAAATTCAATCCCTATCATGGACTAGAAAGAGGAGGGACCCTTAAGAGGTGACTGATAATTTGCCTACATGAATCTCAAGAGCGGGCTGCTACAAAAGCCAGTTTGATGACTCATGCTGTTGTTTCATATGACGTCTACTGCGGCCTAGGGACTCAGCCAGTAAGAAGGGCATCACCAGATGTGGCCTCTCAACCTCAGATCTCGTAACATCAATTACTGTGCAATTAACAACAGAAAACAGACTAAGACACACACTTCCTTGAACTGTGTGGGACCAGAAGTGGAAGTCAAGGACTGGCTCTAGTCTTGGCCACTGTGCCACCTGAGGGAGGTCACCTTCTATCTTGCAGTCTGTTTCCTTGTCTGCTCAATGAAAGAGCTGAACCAGAAGATATCACAGACTAAAATTTATCTAAGACTAAATTTCAGCGGTTCCATGAATTACAACCAACAATATGATAACCTTGACTTAAAAGCTAAGAAGTTACTACTTCCTCCAGAAACTCAAGCCCCTCATCTTCTGGGAGCCTTCCTGGCTTCTTCCAGCCAGTATGAATCTCTCTCCTCTCTGCTCTCAATGCAATGTATGTAGATTGAAAACGGGGAATGACCCATTCTGCCCTGTGTGTCTTGCCAGTGACTATTCTGCCTGAGGGTTAGCACATGGCAGAGTCCAAACAGATATGTGCCGACTAATGAACAAGTAAGAAGTCTCACTGATACCTTGCAGACATCTCTCATCAGCTGTGGATCCACATGCCTTGCCTACTGGCTGCCTTCCAGGAGGTGTCTGTTCTACAGGCAGCTCAAATTCAACATGTCCAAATGCAACGTGGTGCCCTCCTCATCACTCTGTCTGAACTTATCCCTCTTTCTTTACCTCCTACGAGACTGAGAAAGCCCAAGCAAGAAGTCTGAAAACTGAGTCATGAGTGAGAATTGCTCCCAATTTGATCTACCTCTCTTTAGTTATGCCACTGCCACATCAGCTCAGACCTATTGGGGGCCTTTCTTACCAGCACCCCTGTGAGATGCTCCCTACTGGTCATTTGTCTGTAGTCTATTCTACCCTGTGAAAGGCTGAATTGCGTCTCCCAGTAAGTATGTATACACACATGCACACACGCACAGAAGCCCTAACACTACAATGTGATGGTATTAGGAGGTGGGGCCTTCAGAGAGATGTTAGATGAAGTCATGAGTGTGGGGTCCACAAGATGGGATTAATATCCTTTTAAGAAGATAGCAGAGAGCTTTCTCTTTCTGTCCCCACACAGCCCATTATGTGAACACACAGCAAGGCTGCACTACTTACATGTAATGCAGTGTGAGTGGATGTGCCCTTAGGCACATCATCATGGCTGTGATAAGTGGAGAGATGAGAGCCATGGAGAAGCTGCAGCAACTGCAAGCCAGCAAGGGAACTGGACAGGCAGGTACTTTGACCTTGGACTTTCCAGCCTCCAGAATGCTGGGAAATGAATGTCTGTTTAAGCCAACCTATCTGGAATATTTTGTTATAGCCACCTAAGCTGACTAACACACACCATATTCCCCAGTGTGAAACTGGACTAGGCTTGTGATTAGGGCTTTGCATAAAAGTCCTTCCAGTGGCCTTTGGTAATCTCTCCAGCCTGTCCCCACTTTTCCTGCCTCCTGCTTGAATACACTGCAGTTTTGGGTTTCCTAAGCCTACCATGCCTTGTTTTCTTTGTCCAGATGTCCCTGTTCCTCTTCCAACTCTGCAACCCCTCTAGGTCTTCAGGGTTAGGCTAGAGTATTATCTCCTAAGGGAAGTCTTGGTTACTTTCCAGACCCACTCAGGTCCCTTCTTGAACACTCATGGTGCCCTATGCATACCTTCAACATAACAGGATCACACTGAGGTGACTGACCATTTTTTAAGGGATCGGTAGGTGTCACAAGTATATAAACACCTTGTTTTACTCATCTTTAAGCTGCTAGCCCCTACTATAGTATAGAGAACACAGTGCATAGCCACAGATCTGAACAAACAAATGAATTTTCAGATGGGATGAAGAATATTTTTAGAATTTGGAATCCACAGGGGATGTTTGTTGTCTTGTTAGGAGACCCTGAGGGAGGACAGGGAGAGCGGAAAACTCGCTCTGCTCTATTTCAAATGCTTCTGGTCACAGAGTTCACAATAAAGGAAGAAAGAATCCCCAGACCTCACTCACCTCTCACTGACAGCAAGGTTCTGGTGCTTTAAATAGCCCAGAAAAATGTTGAGAACCCAGCTCGTCACCTTTTTTGGCTCTGCCCTAGTTTCTTTTATCACATTTTGGAAGAACTCCAGTAGGCCAACTTCATTCTGTTAAAAAAAAAAAAATGATATAAAGCAACTCCAAAACGAAAGATCAGCACTCTGAAGACAAATCAGAAACTGCTACCCTCTGCCTCCACAAGACATCCGTTCTTTCTTGGCAAAACACTGAGATGTCACCAGAAAATTATGATCATTTGCAGTAAGCTGCAAGTATTCTACTTCCACTACTGCCACTCTGCATTTAGACAGCACCTTTTTCAAAGGAACGAAGATATTTTAGAATGTTCCCTGACTGTGTGGACCCAAGGACAGTGATATCCACCATCCCCCAAACTCGCCTGCCCACCTATGTCACACAGGCACCTGGCAGCCTTTATCTCTGAGTTGTGAACTAAACCTACAATGTTTGGCTGGAATTTAATGCCCTTTCTCTTTCCTGGCCTGTCCCCTCTCAGAAGTCCTAGTGACTGCAAAAAGATGGTAACAAATGCAGCAAATTAGGAAGGAATGAACAGAGTATATATTCTACTCTGAAAAAATTAAAAGTATATCATAACCATCTATATTCATATTCACATTATTTGCAGAGGTAGACAGGAAGGGTTCTGGAATATTTTCAAAATGAGGAAGAACATGCGTGCCTATGACCCAGTTAGACTGGCTGTACAACTGGTGCAGGGAGCAGCTGGTTTCTGGGCCATTTAAGCCAAGCTGGTACGGCCAGCCCTGCCTCTCATCGTGTTCTAGGTTAGTTCAATGAGGAGACCTGCTTCATGTGGACTGTTTGTCCCCTCTTGTCTCTCAGCTATATGAGTTAGGGCCATGCTGTTCCTGTTCACTCTATAAACAGAGCCAAGTCAGTGATGGGCCATGGAAGCTACTATGTAAGAACCAGTGGATGGTGTCTCCTGCCACTGTGCACCTACAGTAAATCACCTGTGAGCACTCATCCTATGTCATACCATGTTCACCTTTAAGTACTGGAATTGCCACAATTATGCATGGGAATGAGGAGGGAGGCATACTCATTGGGTTATATACCATGGCTAACAGCCAGCTCAGAAGCATTTGGCAGAACCCAGAAATTTAGCTAAGTCCACCTCCAGTATTTCCACAAAAAATAATAAAAACATATCCTACTCATGTAGGGGAGGCTGAAATTTCCAAATACAGAAGGTAGACATTGTAAGTAGATTTCCCTTGCCTAACGAAATACAAATCAAACCACACCTTCCTTGAAATAGTCTTCTTACATTCATGCTCCAGGCTCCCACTCCTACCCACTTTGGAAAACCTTTTATTAACCAAAAGGACCTTCTGGAAAAATAAGATACTGGGAAGAAACAAGACAAAATAACAAAAGTGCTCTTGACATTTAGCTACTACAGAAGCTATAATATATATATATATATATATATATAGGCATACAGTTGCTAAAGCAGAAATTCCATAATAAAAAAATCTATATGCCCTTTGTAACAGATAAATTCTCTGGTGACAAGCCTACTGAATAATCTATAATCATCTCTTGAATCTCCACTCAAGCCAATGCTATTATTCTGCTCATGCTAAACCAGGGCAAAGGCCAGCTCGACAGTTGAAGCTTGACTAGAGATAAAGGCAAATGCAGGTGACACAAAGAGGCAGTGTTGCTTCACTTGAGGAGAGCACTCAAACTTCTACATGGCAAGTGGACTGGATCACTGGGTCTAAGCGCTAGCCGACCCACATCAGCCAGGCACAATTCCCTTTTGTTTTTACCCAGATGGGTACTGCTGGTGAAATGAGCTGTCAGGAGAACTCTGCTTTGCCAAGCAAAGGTTTCTGAAATCCACCTAGAAATACTGCACTTGGGCTCACAGGCTTGGCTGGGCAGCTGGGATGTGATGAATATCTATCCCTCTACCCTTGGGTGGTTTTGTTATTGGATTGATAACACGGCACAGCAGATTTCTGTTTGTCTTTTTGTGTCAGGGCTGTGATGAAGCCTCTCTGAGCTGGAACTGAACTTTACTGAAGGATACATGGTTTCAGTGTACAATTTAAAGCAGATGTGAAAATCTGTGATGGTGACAGGGTGAGCTACAGGGAGTGGGGCTAAAGGAGGCTGCACTGCTATTGCTGCTGCCTCCGCTGCAGCCCAGAAAATGATGCACCAATAAGATATGTGCAGGAGCTGCCGCTCCACTCTTCACAACAGAAGCCCACTTTCCAGGGAAAACACTTGCACTCTGCTTTTCTAGTTTTCTTAGTTCTTCCACGAGAATGGCAAATGCTAATAAGCTTGGCATAAATCTCAGAAATCTTTGGTGAACATGGCAGTGCAGCCATCTGGTTTTCTCAGAAAAACAGTGGACCAATAATTCCCTTCCACGAAAATCATATTAAGAGTGATGCAGAAAGGCCACTGAATTAGGCCTCCTCAAAGTGACAAGCACTGATCCATCCTACAGACGATAGAACTGAAGTTTCAGCTATGCAGTGAGTCAAGTCTCCTGGCCAATGGGAATCCAATGGTCCTTTCAGAGATGGCTAAAGATGCAGGGACAGCAGATCCTGTCTTCATGTACAACACCAGACAATCTTACAGCTTTATGACCCCAAAGCATCTTTTCCACATTTTAATCAATTTTCCCAAGGCATTCAATTATACCCAGAGACAATGTCAATTCAGCCTCTTAGATGCTAACAGGAACCCTCAATTGCTAATGGCTTTTCCAGCTGACTGATGCTGGTGTGAGGCAAACCAGAGGGATCACCTCACCTTCACTAAGGAGCCTCAGTTTACCCTTGCATTGGGCCCTCAAAACAATCTGCCCCCAAGCTGTCTTTTGTATTCTATCTTCAGAGATGATAAAATGTCAGAAGACTATCCAGTTGGAACAGGATGAAGACTGATTTTTCAACTGCAGTTATTGTTCTAAGTCACACACTCTATGAACCTGATGACAGTCTAGAAATGAAGCTGGACTATATTTATAGGTAGAATGAAATCTGATAGAGACAACTGCCCAGAGCCAACTCAGAGAAGAAAGCTGAGTAACAGCTGGTTATGTGACAGGAGTGTCCTGGCAGCTTCAAAAGACCCTAGATTAGCAATCCTGGGCTGGCCAAGAGCACTCAAGAATACTTACTCAATATAGTAGTCCCCCATCCACAGGGATACATCCCAAAACCCCCAGGGCATGCCCAAACCTAGATAGTTCTAAACCCTATGGTTTTTTCCTGTACATATATACCCATGACAAAATTTAACTTATAAATTAGGCACAGCAGAACACTAACGACAACTAACGAAATTGAACGATTATGATAATATGGTAATGAAAGTTTAAAAAATATGAATTGTTTATTTCCAAAATTTTTCATTTAATTTTTTTGGATCCCTACTGACTATAACTAAAACCTATATACAGGCAAGGGGCGACTTGACTACTGCACCTCTCAGACAGGGACACAGCAGTTGGCCTTTGGGTACTGCTAATAACAGTAACAGTTATAACATACAAATTACAGATGCCAGCACTGTTCTAATGCTTTCTATATATTAACTCATTTAATTCCAACAGCCCCATGAGGTGAGTAACTTGCAGACAAAGCACTGAGGCATTCCTGTCTTGGAGGTCACACACCAAAAGCAGCAGAGCTGGAATAGAACCCCTGCAGGCATACTCTTCACCTGTCTGACACAGAGGTGCCTTTGAGGAAGGAAAGGGCATGGTTGCTGGCTTCCTGGGGACAGAAACTTGAGCACCTATCAGTGACAGACATGATCTGGGGCTCACCAAAATAAAGTATGTTCCCAGCACTTCTTTATTTTATTTGATATCTACCAGCTGTTCAAAGATTCTTCATATTAAAGATATTACACATGTTGCAGAGGTCCCCAGCAATTAGCTTAGAAATTAGGAGAAAATGGCAAGCTCACCTTCTGTCTTTGCCAAGGTACACCTAGGCCACATGGCATAACACATCCCCATTTCCAGATCAGGGAAGGAGAGAGTAGCAGGACCACTACTCATGCCACCCTGGACTCTATGGGAATGGGTGGCCAGTTCACTATGCCTCTCTTCTGCACTCCATACCAGAGAAATTACCAGGAGCTCCCAAGACCCAGATATTACACAATCTCATGTACTTTCCCATATATAATGAGACAACTCCCATTCTCTCTGGGGACATTAACCACACTCTATTTACTTACTGCACTCAAGTTTCTCTAATATGGGTAACTCATAGGTTTATACCTAACTGGGTAGCTCACACCTGGTAGTGTGAGTGGCTGACTATTCAGGAGGCCCCGAGTCTGAAGATTCAATGGCAGTGGTTTCAACCGGGTAATGTCACAGTTTTGTGTCATTTTTGTGGAGGCACAAAATGGACTTGCATCAGTCCCGGTGGGGAGGGATAAAGGTATAGGGTGGGCGCACAGCCACAGAAAATGTGTGGGCGCACAGCCACAGAAAATGTGTAAGGGGCCCATAAACTGCACATTGATGGGGGCCCCATTGTTCCTTCATTATACTTGTGAATCAGGTCATTCTTACAAAACTGAGGAAAACATAACTCAAACCCAACAATTTTGTAAAACATGGTCTTGTGAATAACATCAAATGCCAGTGTTGGGGATGGAAATGAAGTAGTTCTAGGCCAGAAAGTAGAAATTATAGCAAAACAAAGGACTGGAGTGTTCAGTGGGTACTTGGGTCTGTGATGTGACTAAGTCCTCCTTGGGACTGTGAAAATCTTTTAGCAAGGGCTCCCATGAGCAGAAAAGTTACTCATGGAGACAGGATTCTTTAGGGGGGAAACAAAAGGGAATGAACTGGTAGTGTGAAGCTGGCCTAGAACACAGGACACTCTCACTTGAGTATGTTAGAAGAAAGCCAGAGGAATCCTGAACCATCATTGTCAAATGCAAGAAGGATCCTAGGAGAAGGCTCTGTAGAAGCTCTGAAATGGACCCATGAATATCCAGGGTGTGCTTTCCAGGCTCCCCAAGGAAAACACAACTGCAGGTCGATAGTACTGTTTCAGTCCTTATA